AGTAGAACAGATAGCTGCAGACCCATATGTTTATTTTGCCTTTTCACACTGTTAAGCACCCTTTTTAAGCACCTTGCCTTGTCTTGTTTTCCCTGCCCCAGTGTTGTTTTTAATAAACCCTTTCTGTGTAATTATTTTCTCTGCCTGGGTCAATCACACCTGTGTGTTCTCGGCTGAAAAAGGGACATTTTGCATGTGCTTGAGAGGGTACCCTGGGCCTTCTCAACAGGGACCATAAGTCCAGGGTGGCGGTGGCGGAAGGCGGAGACCCCCCTGGGGTCATGATACCTCCATTTAGCATATTTATGATTTGTGTGAATCTAGCAAGTCTGAATCTAGCAAGTGTGTGTCTCTTAAGATTCCCATATTCACGTATATGATGAATATCCAATGTTGCTCTTGAGTTCTCTTTTTGGTTTTTGGCTGCTAAGCCATATGGCTGATCTCATGGTTTCAGGAACAAACAGATAACATGTGGATCACAAATGAACCATCTCAGTCTAAGGAAATGTTAAAACACCAAGTAGTAGAAAATGCAACACAGTGTTAAACACAACTAATGGTTAATCAAAGAACACCATGTAAGTGAAAACTCAAAACAAGACATGTTACTGCTAGAAGGGAACAGTTTAAATAATCTCCATTCCTAGGTCAATGCTTTACACAATTACCTGAGCAGTGAGGCAGAGTTCCACTCCAGCGGCTGTCTTCTTGGCATGTCCTACTTGAGTTTCCTATGAGAGTTCGACTTCCTGTGCAGGAGTAGCGAACAGCAGACCCATATGTAAATTTGTCTCCTGACAGAATTGCATTTGCTGGAACTCCAGGGTGTCCACATGATATTGCTATGTCGAGGGAGAGGGAGAAAGGGAATTAGATTCATAACATTTTCTCTTCCTAAAACAACATCTGAAGTCAGATTTATGTACAATACACAACAGTATTGCTGAATTCTATTCATTTCATTTGATATCCTGAATGATTTGTCCTTCATAAATAAAGCACAAGGAATACAAATTACATAGAAAACTGGCTCCTAACGGTGCATTTTTTAAAAGTAGACACTTCAGTTAGTAGCCCAAAGGATGAACAGATTCTCATTCCCACTTGCTTCAGGAAAAGAGTCAAGGTTTTTCCAGGATGCCAGAATATAGTTTTTCCTTTTCTGCCTTGGTCCAGTTGACTTTTGCAAAGCCATCTGAACACACTAAAATCTTACCTGTGGAAACTAAACAGGGCTCTATAAAAATCTAAATCTTAAAAAACCAGATCAGATTTCAGCTTGAATAAATTCACACTTAGAACCCTATTTCTGAGAAGAAGAGCAAGTTGAAGTAGAAGATTTCCCAGTCTGTTGTTCTGGGGTTGGTGGATGGGGCACTGCAGTGCTGTGTCCACACACTTTGATGCATACACCAAGGAGAGAGAGGACACTATTGTGGTCAATATTGTGCCAGGAGGAATAGTGCTTTTGGACAGTTCCTTGATTACCATTTTTTCCCTATTGCTGCATACCACAATCACTTGAAATATAATAATGTGGGATTACAAAATATACTATTCCACATTAACTGGTATTCTGGCTAATACTACCACTTATTGAATACTTACGCAAACATTTGGGTAGTGATCTGTCCCACAAACCAGTAGCCTTGCAGGTCAGTGCAGAAGATCCTAGAAGATAAAATCCTTTCTTGCAGTGGTATACCACACTGACTCCATATTTGAAAGATTCAGGGAAATTCTGTTGCCCATGACGAACAGCATTTTCCACAAAACCTGGATCTGTGCAGTTCACAACTGTAAGTCAAAGATAAAACTCCTTATTATTTAAAATTCATATCCTGACCACTTTAAATCTACTGAACAGTAAAGACCACAGACAATAATTAATAGTAGCTGCCTCTGATCCAATATTTACAGTTACGCAATGTCACTAGCAACTGAAGCTTTTCCACTTTAACCATTACTATGTTTTTAAAAGCCAGTTTTTCTTTAAGATGATGGAGAAGTGACACAACAGAGGTATGTAAAATTGTGGAGGGACTGAGTTAGGGAAATGGAAGAAAGAGCGATTGGAAGGACATAAATTTTCACATAGCAGGTAAGAGTGAGAAAGGGAGGATAAGGGGACATGAGATACAGACAGATGAGAGCAGAAACTTTTTTTAAAATGTGGATTGTTTCAAACAACCACATTCCAGCACAATAATTAGATACACATAAGGCCCATTCATGTCAATAAAACTGAAGAGTACATTATTGCATTAAATAACATTCAATGTCTGGAAAGTCTCCAGATGGACACAGAAACGCCATGTGTCTTCCTGTCCACTCAGAGCTCTCCTAATGTAAATATCTCATATGTTTAAAAGTTTTACATCAAGGATATTTCAAAATCTCATATCTCCTAGCACTGTGGATAACCTAGAAATACATAGCAGAACATAAGAAATCCTCAATGACAACCAGAGAAAATATGAAGGGAAGAAGGAAATGCAATGCTTATTTAGTGAGCTGTCTTTAAAAAAACAGGATTATAATCCTGGAAGCACTGCTCAAATCTGTGTCTAAAAGAACATAGAAAGGGAGCTTTGGCCTGAGATTTGTTTTATAAGTCTCTTCTCTACAGGAAAGATCAAAGCCTTTTTTTGCACTTTACCTTTTTAGTCAGTAAACAGTACAGAAAAGTAGTTCTATTAAAACCACTACTGGGTTGCCATTAAAAATAAAGTTTCTTCCCACGTGCCCAATCTGTTTCATCTTCTTGCACTTGTAGCTTGGCTGTGGGATTCACATTCATCTGAGACACCATCAAGAAGAGTTTCATTAGTTTCCACAAGTAATTAAGGCTCTCATGTGCAACTGTTTTAAAAGGGCTTGCTTAGCTGTCTGCTACATCTTTCAAATTCATAAAGAAAAAAAAAATCTTCTGACAGCTAAAAGGCTACTTTAACTGGAGCTTGTACTGAAATCAATTAAGCATATTTCATGTCCTCCTTCAGTTTTAAGTACAGTTAGGGGTGTGCAAAAACCTCCCCCAAACCAGTATTTTTCAGGTTCGGGTATACTGAACCCCCCAAATACTGGTATTTCCTGATATTCCTGAATCCCAATACCAGTATGGGAATATTCCCCATAGGCTATCATGGAGAATCCATCTGAGGGTATATGGGGCTCTGGGGGGGGGCTGTTTTTTGAGGTAGAGGCACCAAATTTGCAGCATAACTGATGGTGCCTCTCCTCAACCTCCCCCCCACCCCAGATTTCAAAAAGATTGTACCAGGAGATCAAATTCTATGGGCCATTCTCTATTGTTTTCAATGGAGGGGGGAAAGGTGTTTAAAGGGACACAGTCCCTTTAAATGCCTTTTCCAAGCTGTGGTGTGACTCCGCACCATGGTGAGTGAACTCTGAAGGCATTTAAAGGGACTGAGAGCCCTTTAAATGTCCTGTAACTATGGCTATCTGGTGAACCTGATAATAAGATTGCCAGTCTAGCTCCATAAAGTGATGGAAACATCAGGGGGGGTAGGGGGGGAGTGAAGACTGGCAGAAAGACATTGCAAGAAGCCCCAATGTCACTTTCAGCTGTCATCATGTTGTATGATACTCCAGGATTTTCCCTGATCTCTTTGGTAAAAACCACTGAGATTGGGGTAGTTCCTATAATGTCATGAGACACAGTCACATCGCTTCCAGATTCCCAGCTAGAAATGGTGTCATGGAAGGCTGCCCCCCATTTTTGCTCCTGCCATGATATGGAGCAGTGGCAGGGGACAGAGCTGATAGTGGGAGGTTGCACACTATGGTGGGAAACCTGACACCCCTGGGTGCGAACAATGGCTGTTAGCTTTTTCCTGCCGTGGTGGAGGAAGAGACAGTTGATGAGTTGAGACTAATTACTATCATCAGTGAAGAGTCTGGGCCAAGTGTCCCTGTTCAGAAACTCTGAAGGCATTTAAAGGGGGCTCTGGTAGACTTCCTGGGATTTGGCTCTGTTTTCTAGTGGCTCCCAATGGCCTTCAAGATTAGTGGTCCACTGGGAAATTTCCTTGTTAAGTTAAATGGCTAGCCTGCCACTGACAGATGGCAGGGAAATTTCCTTGTTAAGTTAAATGGCTAACCTGCCACTGACAGATGGGCTTACTTTACCAACTCATTTGTTATGTTTTGAAAAACTGGTGAATAACACTCTCTTTCAGATTACTTTGGGCCTGTTTGAAATTTAAACTAGAGTTCAAAGCTGAGTAAAAGACCTTGGTTTTACAATTTCTGCTTTGGATATCAGGAAATGATTTTATTAATGATGTTCATTCTGTGCTGTTGTAAGTTTTAATTGGGATATTACAAGTTGACAAATAAAGAGGATCTGGATATCACCAAACTCTTGATTCTTCATCTGAGCCTTGTTTCCCACCCTTTCTGTCTACAAGTCCACATTTCCACAACTCAGGAATACAGATGATGGTCTACTTTTTATTTCTCAGCTTGGAAATATAAATTTGGGCAAGATTTGTAAAGCTTACCTTCAATACAAAATTGAACATTATGGTTCTAAATCTATCTCTGGTTCAGACTATATATTCAAAGAAGAGAAAAACTTCCTCCTTTCTCCTCTTTGCCCGCCACTCAAGTGCTGGCAACAGGCATG